CTGCTTCAACACACCCCCACGAAAGGAGGAATGCTGACAGATGCTGTGTCCCGACCTTCCCCCCCTGCCTTCAGATTGTGACTTCTGCTTGAGGTCAGCGACCTGCTGGAAACTCAATGTGCTCTCTGTTCCTTATCTCTCCCTCCCACCTGTCTGTCTGCAGCTGGTTGATGCGCCGTACTGGCAGCTCCCGTTGGAGGCTTCAGGATCCCGCCTAACCCCGCCTCCCCATCGGACTCTGATGTTTTGTATCTGTGCTGTTTGTGCTTCTATGTTGAGTTTTTTTTTTTTGTATAATAGAGTTACTCCCCGCTGGGTCTAACTCTGCTATGCCTTTATTTTACCTTACCCCCAATTATCCTCATGTAACACCCTTTTCATCTATCTACTAAGGTAGCGCGACTCATGCTGCGAATGACCGCAGTCACCAATTCTTGTCATGTGTCTTACCCATGTATGTCTGATCTCTGAATTGTGTGCACTGAAACTCAATTTCGTTTCTCTGTATGTCTTGCACATGTGGGAGAAATGACAATAAAATGACTTTGACTTTGACAAGAATGGTAATTTTGGTGGCCTTAAATTAATACAGTTTATTTAGTTTTATTTAAACAATATCAAAACATAATAGGCCATTTAAAATAGATACAGGTAGTGGAGACAAACAATGGTCAAGGAACAAAGTGGAGTTTACAAATTCTACAATGCAAAAAAAACCCTATTGATTTTGTGATGGGTGAAACTCCCCCATCTAAATAAGTACAACTATTGGTGCCACCCATGCAAAAACAGGTGCCCTACCAGGGCCACCCCATTTTATAAGGCCTGGACACGCCACTGCCAGAATGCTATCAAGTCTGACAACTGGAAGGAATTGGACTGACTCTGATGGAATGGGTGGGGCTGACTCTGGAAGGGGTGGGGCTGACTCTGGTGCAGCTCCACCTTCTGGTGCAACTCCGCCTTTGTGGTTCTGCAGCGAGCACCGCTTGGCTTGGCATCCAAGAGAAATAAGGAGGAGAGCTTCGACGGGTGTAACTTTTTATTTGCGTCAGGCTGTAGATGCACACATCTCATTCCCAGAATCGCACCGAGCACCTGGTGCCGGTCACTGTGCAAACACCGTGAAAACTGAAAATACATAATTTACAAACAAATTAAAGACAATCGCTGACAATCAGGAGCAACAAACAGAAACAAAGAACAAATACCTTGCTCCTCTTGCCATGGGGTGCAATCAAAGTAATGTCACGTAGAGGCTTGGCACAGCAAGACCATAGACTAAATGTACAAGCATTTGTTAGGGCGACACGTTCTTATTTAATCAATTTTAGTCAAAATACCCGCACTTACGTGGAAGTTTGGTCTGCTGCAACACGCCAAGCCAGGTGGAATGCCAACGCCACGTCCACATCCGGGTTAACGCGCACTTATATGCAATTGAATGAGTGACGTTGACAATCCACCTGCTCGCAGCCCATTTACACTCCCACCAAATCATGATTTATGCAAAAAATACTTCACATGATTTTAAAGTAGACAAATGGCAGTTAACAGTACTGTATTTTACTTCCTAATTAAAAACAAAAAGCAAAAACTTAACTCTCAACTAACACAACCAGTTTTTGTACAGGACGTTCAAGAACGGACACACGGTTCTGTCTATCATTCAGACCTCGGTTTCCCATCTGAACCTTAACTCTTCGGACTATTCCGTCTTTTCCCTCTGCAGTGCCAATCACACGACCCAGTTGCCACTGACATCTTGGAAGTACATCATCTTTAACAAGGACTATGTCATCCACCTTTACATTGCGGCGCAGTTTGTGCCATTTTTGTCTGAGAGAGGTTACTGAGATATTCTCTTTTCCATCTGCTCCAGAATTGTTCTACAAGAAACTGTACTCCACGCCACCTTTGAAGTGCATACACGTCTTCTTTGAAAAAAGTTCCAGGTGGTGGTAAAGCGATTTTAGACTTCATAAGGATAAGACGATAAGGAGTGAGTGGTTCAGGTACGTTAGGTTCGTTAATGTTGTAAACAGTTAAGGGACGACTATTAACAATAGCCATAGCCTCATAAAACAAAGTCCTGCAATGTTGTGTCTTCTTTCTGACCAGATGTTGAATAGATGGTAAAAGGTCAGGCTGTACCTAAACTGACCATTGCTGGGCGCTACACCTGCTCCAATACTCCTGCCAACTCTTGTAACTCCTGCGTTTATAGCAAGTCTCAAATTGAACAGAAAATGTTGCACTTCTACATAATAAAAAGAAAGAGCAAAGCCCTGTAGGAAGCAGCCATTTGTGATTTGCATAGTAAGTCATCAGCATTTTTTAAATCTTAAAAAAATTCTTTAGTATTTTTAGCTGCCATCTTTTGCTTCTTTCATTATTTTCTTTTTTTTTTTTCTTAAAATGTCTGTTTGAAAAAACTCACCTTTCCATTTTTATTTTGTTTTTGTTGTCTTTTTCAGTGATTTTTACTCATCTTAGCAGATGACCTGCTGGGCCGGTAGATTCTCAGCGGGGCCGGTAACTTTTCTGACCCATCGGCCCAGCTGGCCAGTTGGTTGTGCAGTTCATTCCCACGCCTGAATAGGCACCTCTGTTCCCAAAATGCCCCACACTCAGGACCCACGGCCCCGCCCAGATCCCCACACGGGGTCGCCCCCACCCAGACTCACTCAGGAGCAATGCAGCCACCAGGCAGCAAACCACGGCCACCGCCAAGATGCCACAAGGGGCCCCACTCACAACCGCTAGTAGTCCACCCCCTGAGGCAACCCAAGCACCTCCAGAGCAGGGCAGCAGCCCCTCAGCCCCAGACCCACTCCAAACTCAAACCCTCCACCCTATCACCCACATCATCCCGCAGGACAATATCAATGACCCCCCATCACTGCTATGTGATCAAAAGAGCCCAGAGAGATTGATTTGAGGTGGAAGCAGAGGCTATATCAAGTATAATGTGATCCAACAAAATATTTCTATACTGGTTAATGCAAAGAGTATCTTTATTTTTCCAGTTCGTGAGGATAGTTTTCTTAGCGATGCATATGGCAGTCAGAACCACGTGAACCAAAGATGTTTCAATCGGGACATCGTCCAGGTTTCCCAGCAAACAAAGAGAGGGGGAAGTTGGGATATGACATTTCAGACAATTTGACAGATCTTCACATACTCTACCTCGAAATTCCTGGACAGGTGGACAGGACCACAGTGCATGGATGTAATTGTCAGGAATGTTGTGTGTGCAGTGTGTACAGGTGTCAGACGACACAAACCCCATCCTGAACATCCGATGACCTGTATAGTGTACTCTGCAGCATTTTGAATTGAATTAATTGTAAATTGGGGTGTCTGATCATTTTAAAAGTTTTTAAACAAGTTTGGGACCAGAAGTTCTGGTCAAAGCTGATTGATAGACCCACCTCCCATTTTTCAATAGGGATTGCTATTCTATCATCTATTTTGGACAGTGTCTTATAAATTTTGGACTGTAGTTTGGGGTGTTTGAGATTACAGAAGTCTAGTACCCTTGGTGGTGTTTGTAATTCTACTTATTACACTTACATTTTTGTTTAACTATTGATTTAATTTGGTGATATTCTAAAAAGCTATTCTTATCTATTCCAAATTGGGAGACTATTCTATTAAATGGGATGAAGCCCAATCCTTTATTTATGTGTTCCAGGTATAGGATTCCTTTACTTTTCCTGTGTGTCTGGACACACAACCATTTCTAGGGTTTACAAAGAACGGTGTGAAAAGGGAAAAACATCCAGTATGCGGCAGTCCTGTGGGCGAATATGCCTTGTTGATGCTAGAGGTCAGAGGAGAATGAGCAGTTTCAAGCTGAATGTTTACATTCTAACCCTCCCACTGTCCTAATGGGTGACCCCGCGAGGAAAGGTGACCATTGAGCAGGGTTGATGGTTCATCCCTTGAGGTCCACGTGGCAGGGGTGAGGTGGTGCTCACTCCTCACCCCTGCCTCATGGACCTCAAGGGAAAGTGGGAGGGTTACATAAGATGCACAAAAATGCCAAAATAATGACCTCACTTGTCTACAGCATTTTTAGTCACGTACTTATACGTTTATCAGTAAAAGTGCACTTTAAATTTATTTGTAATGTCCTTTGTGGACTCTCATGTGACTGTTTAAGTTTTTCTTATGGCTAAATCTTTGTCCACATAACTCACAGGCAAAGAGTTTCTGTCCTGTGTGGACTCTCATGTGACTGTTTAAGTTTTTCTTATAGCTAAATCTTTGTCCACATAACTCACAGGCAAAGAGTTTCCGTCGTGTGTGGACTCTCATATGAGTGTTCAAATTTGTCCTTCGATTAAAGCTTTTCCCACAGAGTTCACACACAAACGGTTTCTGTCCTGTGTGGACTCTCATGTGAGTGTTCAAATGTGTCTTTAGAGTAAAGCTTTTTCCACAGAGTTCACACGCAAACGGTTTCTGTCCTGTGTGGATTCTCATGTGACTGTTTAATGTTGATTTTTGCCTAAATCTTTGTTCACAGAGCTCACACACAAAGGGTTTCTCTCTTGTGTGGATTCTCATGTGAGTGTTTAATGTTTGCTTAAAACTAAATCTTTGTCCACAGAGCTCACACACAAAGGGTTTTTGTCCTGTGTGGACTCTCATGTGAGTGTTCAAATTTCCCTTTAGAGTAAAGCTTTTTCCACAGAGTTCACACGCAAATGGTTTCTGTCCTGTGTGGACTCTCATGTGAGTGTTCAATATTGATTTTTGACTAAATCTTTGTTCACAGAGCTCACACACAAAGGGTTTCTGTCCTGTGTGGACTCTCATGTGAGAGTTCAAATTTTCCTTTAGAGTAAAGCTTTTTCCACAGAGTTCACACGCAAACAGTTTCTGTCCAGTGTGGACTCTCATGTGACGGTTTAATGTGAATTTACGACTAAATCTTTGTTCACAGAGCTCACACGCAAACGGTTTCTGTCCTGTGTGGACTCTCAAGTGACGGTTTAATGTGAATTTACGACTAAATCTTTGTTCACAGAGCTCACAGGCAAAGGGTTTCTCTCTTGTGTGGACTCTCATGTGTCTGTTTAAACTTTTATTATGATTGTGACAAATGTCACAACTAAATGTTTTTGGTTCATTCTGGACTTTCCTGCAAAAGTCTACATGTTGCTTTACTCTAACATTTTTCTTATTAACCACACATCCTGAAGATCTTATTGCTGAATGGCTCGTCACTCTTTCATGTCTCTGGAGAGACCACTTGTGGAGAAACTCTTTACCACACTCGAGGCAGCAAAAGGATTTGTTGACAGTCTTAATATCTGACTCAGAAGACCTGCTATCATTGCAGTCAGTGTCTCCATCTCCAGTTTCAGAACTAGAGTCTAATAGCTCAACATTTAGATTCACATCATCTCCACTAACTTCAGTCTCTGAAGAATCAGATATGTGTTCATCGGGGTTCAGAACTGGGTTCCTGCTAGATTCTGCTTCTCTGCCAGTTTCTGCTGTTGTCTGGTCAGCTGAGCTGTTGGTTGGAACATCTCTGTCCTCTATTTGCTGCTGATAAAGAAGATGTAAGACCAGAGGTTTGTCTTCATCATCCTCACTTTTTATAGAACCTGATATGAATGGAAACCTGGCAGAATTAGTCTCCTTCTTCAAAAGGAGCTGCTCTCCTTCCAGACTGGTCCAGAGTTCCTCCTGTTCCTCCTTTATGTGGAACTGTTCTGGGTGCTGCTGGTCCACACCAGCACTCTGATCTTCAGGAGCTTCTTCTTTAACCATCTGGAGAACATCTATGGGAAACAGGAACACAGTATGTGAATTAACCACTGTAACTTTATTTTCACACATATATCAACAAACAGTTGAATTACTGGTTTAAGTTGGTGAGATCAGAACTAACTCGGGAGAACATGAATTAACTTTTGCATTGAGTGACTTTTTTTTATCTGAGGTGAATGTATAGATATTAAAAAAAAGTAGAATTACTAGAATTGATCAAATTTTTCTAATTTTCAAATTTTTCTGTTTTGGTGGCCTTGTCTTGACAACCTGTCTGTGAAGGTTCTCAGTCATCCAGGTCATTGTAGTCTAAGGAGCTTTGAAAGAAAAGCGTCTGGTCTTCTTTGAGTTGCTTGAAGACGTTTCACCTCTCATCCGAGAGGCTTCTTCAGTTCTAAGGTCAAATGGTGGAGAGTCCCAGATTTAAACCCAGTGGGAGTTTCCCCCCAAAGAGGGAACAAAAGACCCCCTGATGATCTTCTACATAAACACATTGAGGGATTTTCAAGCTTATTACCTTCCCGGTCGTGCGACCCAACATTACAGCCTACTACACAGCAAGTCCTACCCATTGCTGATGTTATAAGGGTGCCATCCTGCTGCTATCCGTTTGTTCCTCAGTCCTCGGTGACAAGAAAGATGGCGTTACCAGGGCGCGCCCCCATCGTGCAATGTCACACTCCAAAGCCCCATTAGAGTCTCATGTCATGTGAACTGTTGATGTTCGTGCTTATATGTTTGAGGTGTTTTGCATAGCAAAGTTAGCCTGTGTCGAGAGTAACTCTGAAATGCCTTTTTGTCCCTCTCCCCCATTTATCCTCATGTAACCCTTTTCTATCTAACTGAAATGAGCGCCTTGAATGGCAGCTCTCGTGGTCTGCCTGCATCGGTTTGGTTCTACATGTTTTGTGTGTGTAACCTCGCTCAGGCTGAACTGCGGAGTCAAATTTCTGTGCTTCGGGACGCTGGGGCACTGACGATAAAGCTGATTCTGAGAATGGCAGGAGGAAACGATCGTGACAGTTTTTTAAACTGTCTGTCAAATGAAAACATGTCTCAGCATGTAGGTGTTGTTTCTGTACCTGCTTGTAACTTACATTGATAATAACGTGTTAAATTAAGGCTCATCCAGAAAATAAAACCTGGCGCAGCTACCTGGGCACCAGATTCAGTGGAGTAATGTTTTTGGACGGCTACTTTTAACTATTACTTGATTATAAATATGTTGCAGTAGTGCTAATCTTACTTAAGTGATATATTTTCAGCATATTTTGAGCTCATTTGTTTCCTTTGAAGACGAAGAGATCTACGATGGGCTGCATGGTGGCGCAGTGGTTAGCACTGTTGCCTCGCAGCAAGAAGGTTGCATGTTCAAAAACTCGCCTCGGCTGCAGCCTTTCTACGTGGAGTTGCGTGTTCTCCCCATGCATGCGTGGGTTTCCTCCGGGTACTCCGGTTTCCCCCACAGATCACAACATGCCCTATAGGTTATAAATTGTAAGTCGCTTTCGATAAAAAGCATCTGTCAAATAAATAAACATAAACGATGACGACTGTAGACAATTTCTGAAAATACCGACTTCTATCATCCTAGGAACCACACACACACACACACACACCAGTACCTGTGTCCATGCTGATGAAGCAGTCCCAGCTGATGGATGATCCTTAAGTGGTAGCAGGTTTTCTTTAGCCGTGTTTAGCTAACAGCTGCAATAGAAACAAAGCAGGAGAGCTGATTAAGATGCTGCTTCAGAACAACGCAGGCAGGGGCGCCGTAAAGCGGTGAAAGATTAGGAAGATTCTAAGGGCCCACAGCTGTCAGGGGCCCAAAAACGTTTCAAAGTCGAATAAAAAAAATTAAGTTTAAAAATCATTAGTACTTTACTTTGCAGTATTTTTTCTCATTTAAGACATTAAACAAACAATCTTTTAGTCTTTATGAAATGTATATTTATTCAGAGGTCCCTACTTTATTTTGACTAATTAATTTTAAATTACTGTGAGATTATTACTGTTGTAGCGTTATGGATTTATGCTCTTTTATGAAAGAGGAACCATGCTACGTATTAATTCGGAATATTAATTTTAATAAATCAATAACCAAATTTTATATTGTTCAGAAGACTCAAAGGTTGTTTTCATCCATAAACTGCCGATAATATCTGAGTGTCTGTGTTTCAGTTCAATGAGGAAACCAGTTTGACGTTTAAAAGTTTTAATTCTTCAAATTAAACTAATGATTTTGAAATTGACAAACAGGAAATACAATCAACATTAGTAACTTTGTGGGACAATCTCTTTAACAGTTGATATGCTGTTCTGGCTCAAATAGACCTTCTGATGAATTTATGAAGATTGAGAATGTTGTGATGGTGAGAGTGATATGAGCTGGGATGGGTGCGTGAGTGCATCTGATTTTGCTTCAGGAAGAACCAGGTGTCTGAGTGAAAAGTGATGGTTTGAATAAACTTAGGCTCTTAGTTGGAAAAGATGCATCAAAACGCTAAACACCGTGTTCTGTCTCACCGAATTCTTTTGGACCCTCTTTCGGATCCGGGGCGTCACCTTAGGATGTTTCATCCAGGGCACCTTGGCTGGCAGAAAAGACAAAGATGCGCTGCGACCCGGTCCAGAGTTGTCCTCGGTACACGTTGATGGTAAAGTGTTTTGTCGACGCGCTTTCTTAAGTTAATTCACTCAGAAATCAAAAGACTCGGTAATGAGTCTGCGTTAGAAGTTGCGATTCAGCTATTCTGCCTGGCGTGGCAGAAACAGCGTGAGAGGAGGGGGGGGGATTGAGCCCATGGGCTCCGTTCCCCGTTAGCGGTTGTTCACAAGTCCTCTCTCTCTCGTGGCCCAACACGAACTGAATCATAAGACTGAAAACTTACCAAAAACCTTTCTCTTCTCAAAGCAAACGTGCGTCATCAAATGTGTCTGGAGTTTACTGTGAGCAGGTGTGTGTGGATGTGTGTGAATGTTTGTGCTTGAGTGTGTGTGAAGGTCAGTAACAAACATTCTCAACATTATTTAAGAATGGATTCATTAAACCATTATAATTACCCCAAAGCTAAATAGTCATTCATTTGATTAATCACATTTATAATGAGCAAAATGATAATGGTTACTTTAACATTAAAATCAAGAAAAAGAAGTTTAAACTTTATGTTTTGACTTGGTCTGGGTACAACTCATGTAAACACATCTTCTGGTAGACTGCAGGTGGCAGATGTTATGGTTTCCTCCCAGACTCGCTGGCGTTCAGGTCTTAATCTGTGGGTGAAAGTTCTCAGCGACCCAGCTTTGACACAGCTGAGTCCAACACCACCATTGTGACAGAAAACCCATATTTCCTCACGTTACACTGTGAAGCACCTTTTTGAAGGCACCATACAAGAAAAAAAACCCTCTTCATCTACTAAACACATTGAAATGAAATGTTTCAAATCAGACTGAATTATGGGAGGTTTTACAAGATGTAATTTGTCTATGTAGCTTTTAGAACACAAACCAAAAATCAGTCATTTCCAAATAATTCACCAGGGATCAAAAATGAAACAAAAGTAGGGCTGCAACTAACGATTATTTTCATAATCGATTAATCTGTCGATTATTTTTTTCGATTAATCGATTAATCAGTTTGTTATTGTTTAGCTATTTAACCTTTACAAGTGATGAATACATTTCAGTTAAGAAAAAGAAAAACATAAGAGGATTGTGCAGTTGACTGCAAACTATTTTATTGCACATGAACACAGTTAGCGGTGTAAAATGAGCTAAACAGTGCAAAATATCAGTCCAGAATAATTTTTTGGCATCAAAATATAAGAGGTAAATTCCACAAAAAATAATGTAGAATCTAGAATAGAGTTTGTAAGTGGTATGCATTGCTGGGGGGTGAGTGTCTTGTTCCCCATGTAGTTGTCCATCGTTGCTTGTTTTTTTCTGCATAAGAAACACAAATAAACTGAAATAAGTACACATATAAAATAAAGCAGCACACACACTACAACACTAAATCAATATTACATTATTTGAATTAATTAACAATATACAGTGATCATTTATTTTGACAAAAATGTGTTGTGAGGCGTTTTACAGCGTTAGATAGTAAAACAGCCTTTTAATAGTAAAAAAATTACTTTCTGAATTTCCTGTATTTAAAAATTGAAAGCGTACAACTATGCCGCGTTATATTCACCTGGACACAGCTCGTTTGTATATTTTTCTCCGCAGAGTTGTCCTTTTTTGAATGAGGAACATAGTTATGGGTTTGTGCCGTTTTTCTCTGAACGAGAACATTCTTATAAACAGACGTGCTAAATTTGGCAAGTGCATGATTCACAACACGGAGGAGATTCACGATTGCATCTAGTCAATCAGAAGTAGAACACCGTAGACTGACGCGGCAAAAAAACATGTTTAACGTTCACTATGACGAACTCAGCTCCCAAATTTGATCTCCGTTAGCTTGTTTATTTTCTGTTACTTACCGGATTTACCGGACTTTCCTCTGCTGCATCAGCCCCCACATGTTTTCGTCTCAAATGTTCACTTAGGAACGTCGTGCTTCCGTGCCATGCTAGATGGTTTTTGCATCTTTTGCAGGTCACCCGTCTTTTCATGGCATCTAGAGTGAAGTGCTCCCGTACTCGTGAGGTTTTTGTCCGGGGTTTCTCTTCAGTTTTGTCGCTTCTATTTTTCTTCCGTATTTCTTCTTGTTCCGTCATCTCTCACAGCAAGATGAGCGTCAGTAACGTGTTACGTCATGAAAACCGAGGGCACTTATTGGCTCGTTTCTTCTTCTACGGCTCCACTGGTAGATCAGTGGCTCATTACTGCCACACACTGGCGGCAAATTTAACAGATTGTAACCGATGTCAGATTGTGGTAAAAAATAGACTTTATGCGGTAAAATATGATTATTAAACAACTAATCGATGACTAAAAAAGTTGTTAACCATTTTAATAATCGATTAGAATCGATTAAATCGATTAGTTGTTTCAGCTCTAAACAAAAGCTATTAATAATTGTAATAAATAAACTTAATATAACACAATAAAATATGAAATCTAGTATTGATGATGGAGAACTACAGCTAATATCCTGCAGGAGACTGTGCTGCATTTTCCCTGTTGTGCATTAATTTTAATGACTGGACAATTCGATTCCATAGGCTCCAATAACACGTTTTTTGTCTATAATGGGAGGTGGCCACCACCGCCATTTTGACCGCGTCACAGGTTCCGTCCAGCCCAGACAATTCCATAAAAGGGGAGAGGAGGAGCTGAGGGTGGGGCTGTAAGGCTGGGATCGAGTGACGACACCCGGGCGAACTAGCTATGAGCTAACCTGAAGCTTACCCAAAGCTAACACGGAGGTGGGAGCCGAGCTAACGGATGTAGCCACCTAGCTTCAACCCTACCGGAGCTAACTGTGGAACAACCATGGACCTGAACCTAACACGAAGTTTAGGTGGAGGTTTTCGGCGCCTGTTCGTGAAAAGTACCTGGATTAAAAAAGTATTAAATCGGTAAGTTTATAATTTATTTCCGTAATGAAAACATTTTGCTTTGAGCAAGTTTTCAGTACCGTATTTTCCGGGTTATCGCTCCTGAGTCGCACTAGCCATTAAATGTATAATGAAGAAGAGAAAATATATTTAAGTCGTATTTTGGGGGGACATTTTATTATTTTTCTTACAAAATCGGAGACCAAGCGTTTCACATTGCAAGACAAGCACCGGTAACCATAACAGAATGAACAACAGCGCGCCATGGTCCCCAGCCAGCAGAGGAGAGGTTGGCAGTGTTTCAAACCCTCCCGGCCGGCGAGGAGAGCTCATTCCTGGGCTGGAGCCGGCCCTCAGCACCCCGCCACAGGCTCCAATAGATGCTGGCGGTGTTTGAAACCCTCCCAGCGGGACAGGGGAAGTCATTGTTGGGTCTGAGTCGGCCCGCAGCAGCGCGGTGTAGCCTACATATTTTGTTATATAAGTCGCTCCGGAGTAGGGCTGCAACAACGAATCGATAAATTCGATGAAAATCGATTACTAAAAGCGTTGGCAATGAATTGCGTCATCGATTCGTTGTGTTGCGCAACTCTTCCAAAAGCCCCCTTCTATGGCGTTTAAAGCGTGCCACAACCCGTGCACGCGCATTGGGTCCACAGCGCGCGTGTGAACGGGACTCGCGAGCGCAAATATACATGGCAGCGCGCGTGTGAACGGGACTCGCGCGCGTGTGAACGGGACTCGCGAGCGAAAATATACATGGCGAGAGGTCATTTGTGCACTGAGAGGGAGCAAACTGTGTCTGTGAGCGCACAAGGATGTGCACAAGTGACAAACCTGCATGCGCGCGTTGTCAACGAGCACACGGCAGAGGAAAACGTGCGCGCGCGGCAGCCTCTGTGCGCGCTCGGCAGCCTCTCTGCGCGCTTGGTTTCTGACTCCTGCTCGCTCGGCTGTAAGGGCTTTTGGCACTCTGGAGGCGTGGCCTGTGGCAGATCTTGTCTGTCCTCTGATTGGTTAGTTCACCCCGCACTTTACCCTCTATCTATATAAAAAAGTCTGATGTTCAGTAGTTGCTGGCATAGCTCAGCTGGGAGAGCGGGTGACTCTCGCCCCGGAGGATCCAGGTTCGAGTCCGGGCAAGGAAAATGTAGTAGACGTCATGTTAATTTTTCTTAATTTCAGGTATTTTAC